TCATACTGCAGAACATGAGCTGGAGCAGGATAAACATGGAATGGATGGGACAGATACGTGTAAATCCAGTCCATTTTGATTATGAAATCATGAATTTGGAGGTTTGTTTGTTTTTGTCATGCTCTTCTGCATTATAAAAAATGTCCTCCTGTTGTTTATGTACAACAATGTTTCTCAACCTTGGCAACTTTAAGATGTGTGGACTTCAACAACCAGCATGCTGACTGTGGGATTCTGGAAGTTGAAGTCCATACATCTTAAAGTTGCCAAGGTTGAAAAATACTGATGTAAACTCTGTGTAGTTATGGTGAAGAATAAAGATGAGACAGCACAAAAACAGAAAAAAGTATTTAATGTCTGGTATATCTCTTCTTAACTCAGATTGTCTTAACACTACCATTATCACTCCAATCATAGCACTGGGGGAGGGCATAGATTCTCTTATCTCTCATTATTACCGATCATTCACTGCTGTGATTGTGTGATGGTCTTTTTGTACTTCATAAACTAATTCACCCGGCTTATGATTTATTTTATGGGAAATACACCCACAGATACGGTTAAATGAGATTCAATGAATTACTTTCTCAGCAACTCTCCACAACATTACCTCTGCATTCATGAAGACGACACAATAATTCTATATGAATATCCTTTACCTTTGTGCAACTCTTCCTAAAGTTTTGTTTGAAATTTGTATCGGTATCCCAACCCATATTTTACCACAATATATCATCTGAGATAAATTGCTTAAAAGAAATACATCAAAGGAGCATATCTGTAGGTATTCCTACAAAGTCGAATACTTTTCATTCCCCAACTTGCTTCCAAATTTCATTTGACTCTGACAGAAAATAAGTTACACACATTTCTACCTTCTTTCTATAAGAATCTAACTGTTTGGGTTTTTTTTTTTACCCAGACCTTATTTGGATCTCGACAGTCATGTCAAACTGCTTCTAGGATAACCCAGTCCATTAAATATGTAGAAGAACAATGTCAGCCAGTACAGCGTCTGCAAAAGGAAGTCCTGTTTCTCTAAAAGAAGTATTTAAAAATATCAACCTGCATATAGATGGGCTGAAAAGGGCTAAGGAAATAATAATAATTTGCCCTGTAATTAAACAAACAAACCCAAGTTATGCAGCAGACATATTTCAATACGCTTTATGTGTGATGAATTCAATAAATACAATATGCCCTCATACAAGAGGATCCAGAAACACCCCAGAAACATATCAGAAATACACACTGGAATGTATACTGGCATAGTCCCCTTCTGAGATAATGGAGTCCTGTAGTGTCTCATATGAAGGCATGACATAAGATATCAACTGTATCTCTCTAGACCAGTGTTTCTGAACTATAGCAACTTGAAGATGGATGGACTTCGGCAATATGTTGCCAAGATTGAGAAATACTGCTCTAATCTAAAAGCTTAAGGAAGGAAGGTGTATACCACTCATAGAGCATCTGAATTGATAGGTGATTTTTTTAATAACAGGAAGATTTGGTCATGTTAC